AMMAWTTTTTTTAAGATTGCAGTATATATAATAACTGAAATATTAAGTGTATATTCATGATMTTTATTCATAAATGATAGTAGATTAGTACAAATTGAATTGAAATATTAGGTAGTTAAAGTAGCAACGTTGTTAAAAGATTACGTCTGTATTATTAGACAACATGTAATAATTTCTAACATTTCAATACCATTTTAGAGCTTTTTATTTTGGTGGTGATTATTAAATAATATCAAGACTATCACTGCAAMAACTGTCTTTTATTTGAAATTCTATTKGGCTAATATATAGTAAATATTAAAATTCAATACAATCCATGTAGTTTAAGTCTGGGGAAATTTTTTGATGTGCTCTGTAAATAGCTGGTTAATTAATCTTRTGTTGGATTCTAAATCCTGATTTTTATTAAGGACCTTTTCTTGGTGTTTATATACCTAAATTTCAGCATATGTATTTTAAAACTCATTTTTTCTTTCATTGAATAGCTTCGATGTTGTATTTGCTGGTGGTCCAGAAGAAGTTCTAAAAAAGTTTCAAAAGACAAACCACAAAGTAGTCTTTGCAGCAGATGGAATTCTCTGGCCAGATAAGAGACTGGCAGACAAGTATCCTGTGGTGCACTTTGGGAAGCGCTACCTGAATGCTGGAGGTGGGTGACACCTGGGGAAAATGTTTAATGCCAATCTGAATAAATTTTAGGTACTGATGTATCATCATTTAAAAAAAATATGTAGACATGAAGTTTTAAATAACTGTCATCTTATGACTGTTATAAAAATATCAGTGTAAAATCCTCAGCATTTTAGACTTGACAAAGGCTTTTCCCATAGATTATGATATTTGATACACTTGACAATATTAGGCAGTGTAGATGTTACAATTTCTGCATAAGTGAGGAAACTTATGTCCAAATTTAATCCATTTTTTTTCCATCATTGCAAATGTGAAACACCTATACAAACTTAATTGAGCCACAAATATACCACTACGGGAACTTTGAAATAATTTTTGAATGGTTATTTTGTTTGCAGAATTAACAACTTGGAACTTAATGAGTTGAGGAACTTTCCCTAAAGACATTTGGTTGTTCAGGAAAAAAAAAAAAAAAAAAAAAACAACAGAGATCCAAATCTGATTCTAATTTTACTGAGAATTTTCTTGCTCTGGTATAATAGGTTTAGTAAGTTTCCTTTCTTGGGAAAAGGTTCATTTTCAATCTATAATCATGTAGCTTTTAAAAGTGGGAATTGTTTAATTTGATTATTTTTGAAATATATCGGAGTAAATAAGTAATTTGTCCTATAATYAGTAATAATGTGATTCTTCATTGAACATCTGGGTATACTCAGAGTGTTGTATTATCTATGCCACCATGAATTAAAACACACATTATCACACCCTCCCTTAACAAATAAAAATAAATTGACCTCAGATAATGTTGACTTTAAAATATGTTTCTCTTAKATGGAGTTTAATATAAATATATGGGCAGAAGACATACCAAATAGGACCAAGGAYTTCTTGGAGAGTTCAGTTGGATGTGAATTGCAAGCCATATTGAGAAAAGGGAACTTTTTGGGTGATTTGCATATGTGTTGCTGACATAGTTTTTAAGTGACAAAATGATTGTTAAAGGATACCAAAGAATCAGCCTTAAGCTTTTTGTAGTCAAAATTATTAGATGATAGAAAATATAAATATGTTAAATAAGTTTGTCTCATTTCGTGGGTGATATATTGAGAGTTATTTAAGGGATATGCGATATATTTGTAGATGTGTCAATTATTTTTATAAGATTTTTAATAGTTTTTTTTTAACCTGTGCCTTATAGGTATACATAATYGTGAGATTCTCTTTGCTATATTCATGTATGTACATGAAAAAGTTAGGTCATGCCCTTGTCTTTCCTTGTCCCACCTGCCCTTCCTTCTTCTCAATTCCCTTTCTCTACTCCATTGATCTTCTATTTTGATGGAATTCCTCCTCTTTTAAATAATAATTCCTCCTCTAATAAAAGTAGTTTTAATAATAAAATATAATCATATAAGGTATATATCACATATTATGAAAATATATATTATTTCTTTTTATTTGAGGATATTCCACTTTGTAAAAATAATAAGGAAACATGATGTTTCAAAATCAGCCATATAAACCATTGGAAAATGTTATGTGTCCCTATTTGGTATACTTCTCTCCACAAACTTGTAGAAATTAAAACACACATTATCTATTCTAAAAAGTTTAGAATTTTTTCATTTGGCAGGAATAACAAAAAATGAGAAACCCGTGGTGGTTTTGCCACTTTTTCATTTTGCCTTTTCTTCTCTAGGTAACTGTAATATTCCTGAACCTATTTCTTTGAATTCCTTTATTCCTGTGAGAGAATTTTAATTTTAATAATAAAAATTACATCTCCTTTCGATTCAGAGGAGTAGCACCGGTCCCTTTTAAAAAGTATTGTGTGTCAATAAAACACAGCAACTTGGCTGCAATTCTGAAATTCAGGGGTGGATCAAATGGGAAAGCTGATCCTGTTGTCTATGGCTTTTTCAGACAAATGTTATTGGAGTAGTTAAAGCTCATGCTCAAGGGCCAAGGGGAACAATCCAATTTTAGACTTCCTTTTTTCCAGACTATGACATAAAAACCTAGCCAGAAAATGTTTTAGCAGGCACAGTAATGAGTCAGTCAAGTAATGGAAAAATTACCCCAAAGTCCTAGATATAAAATTTCTTTGGGATTTTTGCAATCAGTGACAAGTCCCACATTCCTTTGATTGCATTAGCATCCCTGGTACGGACATTAAAACCACTGTCTTGGAGACTTTCTTCTTTCAGAAACAGTGGGTCCTCTGCAGGGGCTCTAAGAAGAGCATTTTGGAAGGTCACAGAGAAAATTTTTCCGTCTCGTTCTATTCCTAGTTTTGTCATTTTCCCTTAGTAGCACTGGAAAAAGTTAGTTCCCCTTTTGTGTCAATGAATATGGGGAATGTGATTATTTATAAAGCGTCTGATGATTTTCTGTTCTGTAACTGGTCAGGAACTTGGCTTTTGTCACTGATGTATAAGCAAAGGACACTCAGGAACTCCTGTTTGTTTTGTGGTGATCTGTGAACCTCCATCCTAAGGTTAAACCTCAGGGCTTCAGTTCTTTGCAGCTGTTCAGTGGTATTAACACAGCATAGGTTTTGGGCTTGCAGTTCTCCATTCTCCGTTTCTGCTCTGTTGCAGGATTTATTGGCTATGCTCCATCCGTCAACCGTATAGTTCAACAGTGGAATCTCCAGGATAATGACGATGATCAGCTCTTTTACACAAAAATATACATTGATCCACTGAACAGGGTAACTAATAGTCCACCCGTTCCTTTCTTCCTGATTCCTTTTTTATTGTTTTGGTTGCTGTGTCTATTGCATTTTATTGTTCGTTACATCCTGTTGCTTTGGTTGCCTTGTTAATATGGAGTGGTCAGAAACAAGGGACTTTTATGGACAGAATGGCAATTGGAAAACTGAATTGTAACACGTTCTTGCCAATTACGTATTTTAAAAACAAAGTCAAGGAAGCAAACAACTAGTGCCTGAGCCTGGGTCCTCCCACCTGGAAAAGTACCAGCTAAGCTGTCCTTTTGCCTCCCCTTTGAGGCCAAGTCAGCAACCTTGTCCAACGTGGGTGGGTCACCGAGAAGAAAAGTGAAAATACAAACTTTTGCTTTTCTGCGTAGTTTATTGAAACACATATTGAAACAACCTGATAAAAGAAACAAAAGGGAGGCCTCTCTCAGCATTACAGCTGCCCCTCCACTGGGGGCCTACCAAGTCCCTGGCTGCCTCTCAGTAGCAGAGTGAATTATGTCATTACAGCTTCTGAGGCTGGAGATTTAAAGAGGCAGTAATAAAGTTCCAGAGACTCTTGGGAGAATGCTTTTGTAAAATTTTCAGATAGCTGTCATTTATTAAGACACAAAGAATTAGGACTGTGTATTCTTTTATATTTAGCTGTACTCTTTTTTTTTTTTTTTTTTGCCACAGATACTTTGAAGCTATTGGATRCCAATGTACTTTTGTAATGTTAAAAAAATATAGTACATTCTTGTTTGTCAATCTTTTAGCCTTTCAAAGGTCTCTTTGTATTMCTATGAGCTTCTTTGTTCCTCAGTCAGTGAGAAGCCAGACTGTGTATCCACACTTCACCCAGGGAGAAACAGGCCACAGAGCAACTGTAGGAAGTGGATCTTGGGTTTCCTGAATACCAAAATCAAGAYTTGTTCTCTATTTCATGTAATAGCAATATTGACTTAATGTACTCAGTTGACTAAATTTGTAAAATAACACTTTTTTTTTAATGCTTTGAAATGGCATGTGAAGAAAACCACTTAAAGGACAGTTTTTAATTTTACAGTTAGTTGTGATACTAGGAATGACAGGGACCTCCCTGCGAGACTTGAAACATGGAGATTGAGGGTGTAGGGGAAACACTGAAGACAGAGCCCTAATCTATGTTGAGCRGTTGGTGGTCCAGAGTGGGTTGTCCCCACAGATATGGTTGATTGGTGTGATCCTTTGGCTGCAACCCCAGGGAGCTTTATAGCCAATTTCAGTCTGTAGAATTTTTGAGACTATGGAACCTTGAATAAAGAGATAAAAGTGAAGTCCCAGAGAGGTTAGGGACTGAGCATCCACAAGGCTATGGTGTAGACCGAGTCTTATGCCCTTTTTTAGTAAAAATGATTGTCACACTGGGCATGGTGGGGCAKGCCTATAATCCCAGCAGCTCAGGAAGCTGAGGCAGGAGGATCCCAAGTTCAAGGCCAGCCTGAGCAATTGAGTGAGGCCCTAAGCAATTTAGTGACACYCTGTCTCTAAATAAAACATAAAAAGCATTGGGGATGTGGCTCRGTGGTTAAATGCCCTTGGGCTCAATCTTCAGTACCTTAMAAAAAARAATAGAATAACTGTCACAAAGAAAACAATTTAAATTAGCAGTGGCCTAAATAAGATAAATGTTTTATCTATGTGTTGATATTTTTCCCTCTGTCATACTAAAAAAATTAAAAGGTAGGGAGCACAAGACTGTCTGGGTGCCTTTATGGTGTCAAGGTAGCTCTTTGCTGCTCAACTGGGAGCCCTTTATCTCTGATTTTTCAATGTAACCTCCTTATCCAAAATGCCAAGTGGAGCACCAGCCATCGCATCCATATTCTGGGCAGTGAAAAGGCAGAAGAGTAAAATACGGGTCATCTCAGTTTCATCAACTCTCCTAGTAGCCTTTTAGAAGTCCCATAAAATACTTTCTCATACTTTTCTATGATCAGAACATATTTATGTAGCCTGCTCATGACACACGAAGGGAATTTTGCTCTTTATTTCAAGCAAAATGCTGCACTGTGTTCTGAGTCTGCTGTTGGGGAGATCACTGGGACAACAGTTAATCTTCTGTAGGCTTTTGCCACTCTGGAAATCGACTTAAATTACAGTTTGATGCAAACTGATTCAAGAATATGCTTTCCCATATGTACATAACACAAGCTAATGTTTCATAATTTATATATATATATATGTAATGAATATAATTTTTTAACATTTCTGGAATTATGTATTTGTGGTGTTGTCATTGGGAAACGAATTTGATTTAAAACTGTATACCAGTGATTTGCACTTAGTGCTCTCTGTCTCAGCTAAATGGTTCAGTCATTTCAACATTTTCATTAGACAGTCAGCATGAGCATTTTAAGACATAAATTCCCCAAAGAGCAAACTATACTAACATGAGAGTGGTATTTGCTGTTTTTCTTGTGATTTTCAATAATATTTCTATTCTTAATTTTTAGGAAGCTATTAACATCACRTTGGATCATAAGTGCAGAATTTTCCAGACCTTAAATGGAGCCGTAGGTATGCTTTCTAAATGCTGGATCCCTGCGTCTGAAAACAGACACCTGTGTTTTGAACTGCCTTCCCTTTGTGATATCCATTTTGGGGTGGGGACTAAGGTCTGCGGTGTACATATTACAACCTTTAAAAAATATTTAATTTGAACTTAGCTGGATAAAGTTCRAAACATTCCATTGAAATCATTTCCTAAAACTAGTGTGAAAATGTAAGCCTCTGGTCCTAGATAACTTGAAATTTAATCTCTTACCCTCTGGGAATTGCAAATATATTTATGAATTAATTACACCTCATTATCACACATTTTTCAGTTTAAATTCTTTGTACTGTGAACTACTTGGAAGTATTAGAGTAGCTCCTTTGGACTCAGCTGCTGGGTAACCAGTGAGACCTGTATAACTAGGCTGTGGAAGAGTGTGTGTGTGTGTGTGTGTGTGTGTGTGTGTGTGTGTATGTGTGTGTGTAAGTACCCATGTACACACTTGCTCATGCAAATCTACCTGTGTGTGTTTACCTGGAGATATGTCTTGATAAAAATACATTAACACATTAAAATAATTAATGAATACCTTTGAAAATCAAAGTATCTCAATTCATTGATTCATTCATACTTTAAAAAGTTAAAAATAGATTGTAATTCAGTACAGTTCATACTGTAAAACGATTCTGGGAATGGAAAGCCTGAGTTTGGCATTCTCAGGAGATGGGAATCTGAAACACAAAAGGAACCTGAAACCAAAACCTAGCTTCCCTTCCTCTGTTTCTTGTGTCTGTCTGGAYGATTGTATGAAATCTGATTTTTCAAAAACTGGAAAAAACTACCAATGCTGGCCAGTGAAAACCTTACTTAAGGCAGGAAGCTTTCTAGTTTCCACACACTTTATCGTTTCTTTGCAGTAACCCTGCAAAGTAGGCATGGGGCCCGTTCTGCAGATGAATGGGCTGCTCCCTTTCTTATCAAAGGGTCATTTGGGGGAGCACTGTGAAAATGCTTTGTTTCCTCTGCACAGCCCAAGGCTTAGCACCACGCTCCTTTTGTCAGAGGGAGTGAGGTGCCCTGGAACGGGTGTGCATCTCTGTCATCATCCTCCTTCTTTGTGGGGATCTGCTGACATGGGGTGGGCACCATTTCTAAGCATCACAACATATGGTGTGTCTTATCTACAGCAAGTTTTGTAACACACACAAGCGCACACATTGAATGTCACTAAACCTCTGTTCTCTTTTTAACTCAGATGAAGTTGTTTTAAAATTTGAAGATAGAAAAACCAGAGTTAAGAATACATTTTATGAAACATTACCAGCAGTGATTAATGGAAATGGACCCACCAAGGTGAGTTGCGGTGATTGCTCTGTAGTTTTTAGGAGGTGGACTATGGAGATGTATGTGGTATGTCATCATCTTTAAAAAAAAAAWAAAAATMAAAAACTGTATTTTGATGTGAACAATTGATTGGCTTTGTCTTTTATACAGTATATTATCTGATTTAATCAACTAAATGGAAGGTTTCTCCTCAACAGGGTGACAACCTTTTATTCTATCTACAGCACATTGAATGAAAGTGTTCTGTTTAATAATGCTGGAAGAGCTAGCTCGAGAGGAGTTCCATCTCTCCATCATTCCATATCCTCTGATCAGGAGTTGCTCAGGCCATTGAGGATCATTTGTTTCCCATGATTTAATATTTTTAAAGYTAACAACACTGTTAAGATCGAGATGTCACTTGGAAGTTTCCTCTTGCACTCATTTTATACCAAAGTTAATGACAGATATAATTTGGCTAATGAAACTTAGCATGCTTTTCTTTTTCAAATACATATAATTGAGCTTGCTGAAAATGTTATTGACCACAAAATATATGGATGAAAAGTTTGCATGTGTCCAACCAAAGTGGAACATCAATTGCTCTGAGAAAAACATATAAATTCTGTACTAAATGTAGTGCTGGACATGCTGAGGTCCTGGCTTACTCACAATACCTGGAAAAGAGATCCACAGGTCAATTTGCCTTKCGGAAAGAGAGGTGGGGTGTAGCCTGCCTTTTCAGAGGAGGGAGGGGCCCAATGCCCACAGCAGCTGCACAAGTGGCGGGAAATTGAAGGAAGCGTCTCTTCCCTCAGAATGGAAGGTGTGGATCTGCTCCTCTACCTGACGATTCCCCTCTGCCCTTTGTCCATTCCACTGTCCTATGGAGCCGTCTTCCCTGTGGACTCTCTTTTCTGTTTCATAATAAGTTTTCCAAGCTCTGTTCTCTAGTCCTCAGTTTTAATCACCCTCAAATCTTTCCTTCCTATAAATAAAACAAATAAATGGGGGAAAGAAAACCAAGTTGAAGTAACCCCCTACCCCCGTACCCCACGTAACATACACTGCCTTCCACCCTGCTCCTGGCTTCTTCTCTCCTCSTCTTCTTCCTCTCCTTCTTCTCTCCTCTCCTCTAGACTTCTTAGAAGCACATGACTACTGTCCCCTCTGCCCTGTTCCCATCACACCACAAGGGGAAATGCTCCTGTCCTGGTCTGCTGTGGCATGCCATTGAGTCCTGGAGCTCTCTCCACCGGAAGTCAGCATCTGAAAATGTGGATCCTCTTGGGTCCAACCTGAAGCACTTTCCCATGATGCTCTGCTCTGTCTACTAATTTCCTGTTCTTTCCTCTTTAGTCGCTTTTTCTAATGTACATTATGACAGTTTTACAACATGTGAGTGTGAGTGTGTGTGTGCGTGTGCATGAATGGGTGAGTGTGAGTGTGTGTGAGTGCAAGCACATATGTGTGAGTGTGGGCGTGCACATATGTGTGTGTGGGTGTGGATTCTTTCCCTGTGCTCCTTTAGTCGATGCCCATAGGTGTCAGTCCAAGATTTTCCTTTTCCTGCTCCATACATGTACTTGAGTATTTTGCTTCCCTCCCCRTCAGCAAAGTCTCTCTTAATGCTGACAGTTTTTCAATCCTCACTCCCCCTCCTGTTCTCCCAGGGCTCTGGTCTGAATGCTCATTGGTAGATTCCATGTATACTCAGAGCTCAAGCCTCCTTTCATCTGGGCTGGTCAACCAGAATCAGAATCTGGTTTTTGTGTTGGCTCCCACGCCTGGAGCTCCCTGGTCGAATTCTTGCACAYAGTGTTTTTATCTTATTTTCTCAGTGCCCATAGTAACTTCCCTGGTTCAGGCCATTGGCAACCTGGAGCAACAAGTTGTACRATGCCTCCTGAACCCAACAACCTGAAACTAGAACATTCTGCTGAAGCAGAAGCCCCACCACATCCCTCTCTGCAGAGGGCTCTTTTGTGGATGTAGGTCTGAGTAGCATATCTGATCTTGTCRTAGTAGGCCCTTTCTTGTTCTCCTGCTTAGGAGGCCACCAAATCCATTCTCCCACCTATTCCGGAATCCTCTGCTCCTGACTCCCTATTTGTGACATCCTCCTGTTCATTCATTAGGTGTCAGCTTGGTCTCAGCTCTCCATGCTTGCTGTGTGCTTCTGAAACACCCGACACTGCTTCTTTCATCACAGTGTACACCAGACACTGGGCAGACATGGGATTTAACAGTGTTCCTGTCTCTTGTTCTTAWGGGGCCTTTAGCCTAGGAATCACAGAAATCATATTAGCCATTCACTTTTGTCTCTCCCAGGTCCAGCCACAAGTAACATATATTAAGCCTTTCTGCAGATTTTGACTGGATGATGGAGTCAATAAACCATCTCAATGGCCTAGCATTATTCTTGGGGGTGATAAGAAAGTTCCCCCCACCCAGGCAAAAATGTCATAAAATTTGAGAAGATTTGACAAATGGGATAAATTCTGTTTACGGAGTCCTTTACTGTCTGTGTAATGTCTGTTGGAATCTTCATTGTAACTTCAGGGCCATTAGGAAAGGGCTGTTACAACCCACCCTTTCCCATGGTGAGTGTTCTGTTCCTTCTTGGGGATGTGATATCTTAGTCAGATTTAAGTGTCTTTAAAGAGTAAACTTGGTCCTCAGAATTTAGTGATTATGCTCAAGACCTGATGCTCAATGATTTTGGTGTGTCTCAGTTCCTTCAAAATTTCCAGAAAGGTGCTACCAGTCAAAAGCTGTATAAAAGCGGCTTGTCACAAGCACAGGAACAGTGCTTCTCCATTGTTTAGAAAGATCTATGACCAAGAAGTTTTAGGAATTCTGGAAACAGTTTCAGTTTGGGTAATTAGTATTTCCAGCATTTCAAGCTCTGTGGGGGATCCTATTGTATTTTCTCTGTCATCAACTCATCTAGTTTGGGGTACCGGGTGTAGAACCTGGGGCCTCGTGCACACTGGGCAAATGCCCTGTCCTGGAGTCATACCCACAGCCCTTCCCTATTGTTTCCTTTGAGACAGGGTTTTGATGAGTTTCCAGGCTGGCTCTGTACTAGTGGTCCTCCTGCCCCAGCTGYCCAGTACCTGGGGTTGAAGGGGTGCACCCCACACCCAGCCTGTCCAGTATATTTTCTAATAATTCTACTTGACAACAAAACATGAAGTAGGTTTCATTTAAAAACTATGTTTGGTATAATATAAAAACTTGACAAAAAGTTGCATAAATAAGCCTTTGACAAACAATATTTTATTTCATACAAATGTGTTAAAAATAAAATGCAGGTACAAACAGGCTACTGAAAACTTTATTTCACTGTCACAAAAGGTGAAAGAATTTTTCATTGAATTTTTATATTGGCTTTACTTTTTAGTAAAGTATGATTATGGTGTCAATAGTTTGATCCATAATATTGAACTAAATAATAATTTAAGCCATATTTAATTTAAAATGTATTCTATAAATGAGATAGTWCCAATGTATATAAAAATGAATTTTTTCTTTCTTTCTCTAAATCTGATGTTTTAAAAAATAATTTAAAAATTATAAGTAATTTTAAAAATCACCTGTAATCTACTACRCTCCAGCTATTTTCAGATGTAGYTGCTTTCTGTGCCCTCTCAGTGGCTATCCATGAGTGTTCATGTTTTTATTCGTTTTTTATAATAGTGTCTAAACAATTTTGTGGCTTTTTAAATTTAGATTTTATTTGAAACACATTTCTGTATTTATTCTAAATAGTTTTGTGCCTTTCTAGGTACCATCAAATATAAATTGRTGTTTCTCAAATTGATGACTTTAGTTTGACACTTTACATTTTTTTTCCCTGAAGCTCATATATTGTTAGTAAGWTGCCATACGATGTTTAAGACTTGCCATCTAAAATCAGATAATACACATCTAAAGGTAATCATCATGAAGTGGGTAGTACATTTACATACAGATTAGGTAAATAGGGCAAGATCAAATCACCTGCTTTGCACATGACAGCAAGTCATTTYTGCAACTAATTTGATGTGCAATAAAGATAGTGAACTTAATTTTATGAATAAAAACCACAGTGCTTGGACCACTGTGACCTTGAATAATGCAAGGCTTTTTAAGAAGAAGAAAGCAAAGAAGCAAAAAAGGAAAGAACTTGTCTGGAAAAGTCTCTCTGCCAATGACCATGACATCATGCCTGGAAATATTTTGGTATTGTGAAAGAAGAGCCAGTMAAATACTACCACCTCGTAGCCGGGAGTGCCCAGAGCAGCCCAAGTGCATAAACAGTTCTCTGCCCCTTCAGAGCTGCCAGCAGAAATGTCTGCAGTTTTTATGAAGAAAACAGATGTGAATTAGGGTGGCTGAATTGATGGTGGGTAACCTCAGCCTGTGTGGCGAGAGACCCGAAAGAGGGAGGTTTCCATTCAAAAGGACTGCTTCTAGAAATCTTAATTACCTGTRAAACAAGCTAAAGTACCCAGCAGAGAATGGACAAGTTACAACATCAAATTTTAATTCAGAAATCTCAAGGCAGTGCCTTTTTGTGCTCTCATCTCTTAAAACTATTGATCATTTCATATTCACATAGGGATTCCAGCAGGYTGATCAATAATGTGTGCATAAATATTTGTTTTTCTGAAGTGTCTGAGATGGGGAAAGTGTCATTCTTTATATGTGATAGGGATTTTAAGTATATCCAAGTATATATGGGGTCCTTCCCATAAAAAAATTCTGTCCCCGGATATTTTAATAAAACTATATATTTCATGCTTGCTTTTTAAAATCTCTTTTGAAAATAATGCTCAATAATGGACACATCTTCACATAAATCTGTTGTCTTTCTCCCAAACCATCATATTTTGTAGGACACGAGTAGTTAAATTAATGTTTCCATTTGTCACTGACAGTCAACAGTACACTTTTCTTTCTGTTTTTGTTAGAGAAACACAGTAGAATGACCACACTGACTCTTGAAATGTCATTAGTGAATGTCATGACTACATATTTCCTGCTTGGTAATTTGTTTTCCAGTGCCTTACTTTATTGTTGATGGGATTTGTTGATAGGATCTATTTTTAAATTTTTWAAATTTGTTTTAATTAGTTATACATGACAGTAGAATGCATTTATGCACTTTGATATATCATACATAGATGGGGTATAATTTCACATTTTTCTGATTGTACATGTTGATATGATCTGTTTTAATCTTTTTCTGAAACAGTGCCCAGAAGTCTGGTAAGAGGTCCCTTTGCCCCTATGAATGGGTTTCTGTGCTAGCTCTTTAAACATATTTACCTTTTTACTAACTCACCATTCACATGACTCATTGTGTTTTTGCTAATAAGTTTAATTTGTTATTTAAAGCCATATTTCATTGTTTGACATATTTTTATTTTATCTTTTCCATTATCGTTCCTTAAATGAACTAAAACGACCTTCATGATTTATACCATGTCTTGACATTTCTAGACATAGCCTGCCCTGCCTAATGGTTCAGTCTGACAAAATTATTGTTTATTGTGCACGCTAAGTGATAAATATTGGTAGAGTAACTAAAGGCATCTACCTAGTGCAGAAAACACTCTTTGAAGTTAGATGACTATAGAATGAAAGCACTTTGATGGGTAAGACTTACCTTTTTTCATCTCATTTCCTATCTTTTACTAGATTCTCCTGAATTATTTTGGAAACTATGTGCCTAATTCATGGACACAGGAGAGTGGCTGCACTCATTGTGAATTTGATACAATTGACTTATCTGCAGTTGAYGTAAGTAGAATGGACTGTGTGAAAAGGAGTAATAAAAAGTGCATTGTGCGAAAATGCAGTGATTTATAGGGAAAAAAAGGCAAATTATTATGTAGTTTTGATTGTATAGTAGGTAATGGGCTTATAATGTTAAGCCACAGTGATTCAGAAAATTGCTTGATTAGTGTTCCCGAACTGTTTTTGAAGACAAAGTCAGGTAATAGCTGAACTCAGCAAAAGGGACTTGATTTTTAATACCTAAACTAATGATTGGTTGCTCTTGTGTTATTTTAGTTTGTTGGTATGGTCAAAGTTACACGGCTTTGGAATTTTTATTGATTAATATCTGTGCATGAGTTTTAGATTTGATTATGTCAAAAATAACATGATTCTCTAACTAAGGACTGTTCTAGGTATTTTACAAACTAACTCATTTAAACACCGTAAATGTCTAAAGTAGTACTAGTGATTCATTTTTACAGATGAGAAAATTGAAGTACATAAAGGTAACAAGTAACTTGCTTAGGGACAAATATGAAGCATGGATTTGAATTTAGGTAATGGAGCTCTAGGCTCTGTGCTATTGATGCTTCATAGTTTTTKTGTTTGTCTTYTGTTTTGGTTGTTTGGTACTGAGGATTGAACACAGAGGCATTTTACMGCTGAGCCACACCCCAGACCTTTTTATTTTTTTATTTTAAGACAGGCCCTCACTAAGTTTCTGAGGGCCTTGCTTAGTTGCTGATGCTGTCCTTGAACTTGCTGCCCTCCTACCTCAGCCTCCTGAGCTCTGGGATTGTAGGCGTGTGCCACCATGCCCYGAATATCATGCACAGTTTTACCTGGATGTCATACTATACACCAAGCTTGGTGTTACTTATGGATATTTCACAGTGAATTGTAGCTATAATTTATTGCTTATATCCAAGCAATTGGAAAAATTTTATTATTTGACCATAACACATTTTTATCCCTTGTTCCATCATTTGACAGARCAATTTTAGAACATCCTGTACTAACATTATTCTTTCACAAAATTGCTCTAGTAACTTGGAAGAATATTATGAGCATGAACAATTGGATTCTACAGAGTGATTTTACCATTAAGGCTAATTTTCCCCTTCATTCAACCTAGGTTTATTGACCATCTCCAGCATGCCCACTAAGTAAAAGCAATATAAGCCAATAGAAAACTCCCTGGAATATACTTCTGATACTTCATGTCTGTGCAAACATAGAATATTTTCAGTTTAATGTACTCAGGYTTCTGAATTAAATAATTTCTATTTAATTCACCGTCTGAAGGGAGGATAAAGACTAACTTGTCTACATTTAGGAGCTTCTGAATAAAACCCTGTTTTACTTGAAAATAAAACTTTTTGGCCAGTTTTTCAAATCACAAACTGAATGTTTCCTATCTGGAAAGACTGCCAGGATATTTCTGAATGAGGCTGCATCATGAAGATGTTTAAAAATTTGTCTTGATCTATTTTGCAGAAAGTAATGTTCTTTGGAGGAAGAATTAATGCTTTTTATCTGTTTTGTTTCCTTTTGTGTACAGTTTCTGGTGCAAAGACAGAAAACATTTATATTAATATTTTTATTTTTATTTTTTTTTCATGTAGAAGTAGGTCACTTGATTCTTATGCTATTGTGTCTGATAGCCTGTTTAAATATACTAGATATATACTAAATATATATATTTCTAAATGCAAAACAAAAAAATCTGTGCATTTTATATGTAGTATTATGCAGTAGTGTATACAAATTAAAATTGTGTGTGGGAAGCTAAGATCCCAAGTGTAGCATAATTTTAAGTACGAGCCACGGGCAATTTCTTTGTATGTAAAAGTAATTGTGGTCATTCCAGAGGGTTGGTAAGAAGGTTAAATGAAATTTTACACACATATATGATGCATCTATATGAGAAATATATAAAATAACATTTTAAGTGTACACTTTATATAATTTTAATAAACTGAACTATTGTCATCATTATTATATAAAAATAAACAGATTAATTGAGCTGTAATGTGTAGAAGCTCAGCTCTTTACTAATTTATGTGTTCTGAATATTTAACTTTTCCAAATCCCATTTTCCTCGTGTAAATTTGGGATAATAAATAACTTCGAAGGCCGTTATGAAATTGAACAAAATGCGTGAGAGAGGTATGATCTACTTTTGATGAGAGGGTTGGGATCTACATTTTACTTATTCCCCTCCTTATTTAGAAAACTCTTAGAGGGTAGATGTTTTTAGTTTTTTTGTATTTATTCATTTAATAATAAATATCTTGGTGTGTTGATAAATCACTGGATTAAAGGTTTGATGAGTTAACAAATTAATAGACAAAAGAAGTCTAAAATGTACAAGGTACTTCTGTGCCAGCAAATATTAAGTTTTAATACAGACATGCATAAAGGACACAACACATATGGTGTTTAAAGAAAATCTGTATTCCTTAGGCTGGGTAAGTAAGTCAGTTCTAGAGCATTTACCTAGCATCCCTGAGTCCCTAGGCTCAATCCCCAAGACAGGAGAAAATAATAAAWATGAAAATAAAAATCCTGTAATGCTTAACTTCCAACTTTAAGACATAGTTTTTAAAAGATGCTATAAAGAAGCCTTCGTACCATTCTGGTCTTAGCAMCGGTACATGGTGATTGACTGGGTTCCTCTTTTCCCATCTAGATGTAAGTTTTTCAAACCAGGAACTTTTGTTCCTTTTGCTAAATGTTGCCCATCACAAATACTAACATATACAATAGGTACTTCAGAAATTTTCATATGATGAATGAAGGATAAACAGTACACTAAAACATACCTAAAGGGGATCTAAGAAAATGTTTAAAATAGAATGCATTAAGATAAAATATACTAATGAAAGAAAAATAGCTTTCCTCGTATTTAATATAACAATGAAAGAATGTAAAAACCTGTTAGTAGAATGAAACAAAAGGGAACATTCGAGATTAGAAATAAAGCCCTCCATGATTGATTTATTTGAGCTACAGATTAAGTACCTGATTTTGAGCCATGTGAACAAAACGGAAAATGCAATCCCCATTCTGGCTGCTTAGATGCAGAGTCAAAATAGCTTCAGATCTGAAGAAGTTTCTTGAAGGGCCATCACTGACCAGAAGAGTAGACTGTATCCATAATTGTATGTGTGCAGCAGATAGGATAGTCTCCTCTTTAAATACAGCATGTGCTTCAGATAAATCATTTTGACAGAGACCTTTTCCCCAGTGAGAGAGAACTACCATAAGGCAATTAATTTATTTTTATTTATAGTTCTTTTAGTTGTAGATGGACACAATACCTTTATTTATTTATATGTGGTGCTGAGGATCATCCCAGTGCCTCACATGTGTAAGGCAAGTGCTCTACCACTGAGCCACAACCCCAGCCCCTGGGGCAGTTCAAAGTTAGCACATTATCTTGAACTGAGATTCTAGTATTTTTTTCTGTGTTACTGAATAAGATTTTAATAAAGTTTAAAATAAAACCACATTAATAACTATTTGTTTTTGTTTGCTGTAAAACAAAGGTCTATCCAAATGTAACAATAGGTGTCTTTATTGAGCAACCAACCCCTTTCCTACCTCGATTTCTGGACACACTGTTGACACTGGATTACCCAAAAGAGGCACTTAAACTCTTCATTCATAACAAAGTAAGTATTTGATCAATAGATATTTTATTTTAAAATTATTTGGGAAGTATTTGTTATGTGTGTCTAACAAAATTTATTGCTCTAAATAAATTGGAATTCCTCCCCCCCCCCCACCAGTAGTTACTGCTCTCTCTCTTTAGGACCTAAGGATTTTAAAGTATTGAGCTACAGAAAACTGCCAATGTTTGAGAAAATGGCTGATTGTTATTCCATTTTTGTGTGGCTGRGCTTAATATATAATGAAGAATATGTCAGAAGGCCTTATGTTGCTTTGCATTTTGATTAATTCTGATGCTTGCTTTTATAGAATTAACTTTTAACATGGGATACTACCTAACTTCAGAACTCAAAACAGATTCTACATAGAGTATGGTTTTGATTAATCTCACAATGGCCTGCTCTTTCCCAAGGGATGTTGATATTGTCATTTCCTTCAAAAATATCCAGAGCCTCCCAAATACCTCCCACATATAATCTAAGCTTAAAGACATTTTTGTCAGTTATTGTCCCATGTATTTATCYCCTTCCTGTTAAAAGTCAGTATTGAACATCGTGTAGAAAAACTCAATAGCTGTGAAGTAATCCATTTCCCTCTCTATCATAATGCTTTTTGTTTATCGTTGGTCTTTCTTCCCAATTTACATGTCAGCCATCCATTTATTTTTTCCAGAGAAATTTTTGAATTGTCAGAAAGCCAGCTTCAATGAGTTTAAAAGTGTGCAAGATTGAATATTTGCTTGTGACGTGTGTTATAATGTATGTTCTTACATGARAATGTTTTATTTTTAGGTATTGGTATATTTTCTCTGCTTTYATAGGGCCTTTAAAGTCCTTGATGGCAGGAGTTTTTAATCTTTTATTTAAGATGAATATTGTAGATTTTATGTGATAAGTGATTTTAACAAGCTGTGAAAAGTATCAGCTTTCCACAAAATAAAATTTTGTAGGGATATAGATATTCTTATCCAAATTTTAGCATGTTTGTGTCACACTAAATAAATAACTTCTAAATTAGTGGTTTTCCCATTATTTATATTTTCAATAAGGTTTTGCTGAGACAATTATTATCTCTGCTTCAAAGAATATTATAACATTTTATTTTATAAAATGTAATTATATGATAGATTAATATCATTAGATTTAAATGACATTTCTGAATATTTTAGAACACACATCTACGATTTTCTGGCTGCAAGCTATTTTTTCCTTCTTGAGTTAAAAACATTTTTTATTACACAAGATTAAGGTATTTATGCAGTGTGGGAATTTAAATATTTATGTAAGGACTTGTCTGGGAGTAGACACTTAAAATCTTTTAAGTGTCTTCTTCTTTGARAATATTGATATATAAATATTTTAGATTCTTCATATGATATTTAGGGGATAAGGAAGTATAGCATATTTAATATGGTTATCAACTTGTGCAACTGAATTGTGAGTTATTAGAATATATGACTCTGGAAGCATTCTCTACATATGCATAGTTCAGCCATCTTCTTGTCTTATTTTCTAATTTTTCATTTTTAAAATATGTTACAGGAAGTTTACCATGAAAAGGATATCAAAGTGTTTTTTGATAAAGCAAAACATGAAATCAGCACTATAAAAATAGTAGGACCAGAAGAAAATCTAAGTCAAGCTGAAGCCAGAAACATGGGAATGTATGTCTTATTACATTTAAGTTAAAAAGTAAAATTATTTTACTAAAGAAACTTTAAGAAAAATCAATTGTTTCTCCAAATTAATCTTCTAACCATGGGAGTGTCAGATATTTGTGCATGTGCTACGGACACAGTAGCAGGAGTCTCCTATTAGACTTCTGGGTTTGAGTGTATTTATGTGTAAAAAGCGACCAAAGCTACTGGCAGTTTTCTTCTAATGACAGGAGCTGACATATTTAATTAAGCTATGAACTGAACTTCAGATCAAGATTAAAAAGGAAAAAGCTCAGATAAATGAAGAGTATGACTTGTTTGGCAATGCCTGTTGCATTTGACAATGAAGGTTGTATGTGATAAAACCATGTTTTCAATTGTGGGGGAAAAGGAGGGTCCCACTTTCCAATTGCTCATGATCTAGACAGGAGTAGAGTCCTCACTAGACCTATCATAGATCCTTTCTTTAGCTCTTTCAATACTTCTTTTAATACTTACTCTGGCAGAGTAAGAGCAACCATTTATTCAGTGAAAATTACTGAATCAGGAGTTCTCAAAGATAATAAGATGAAGACATGGCGCCTTCCCATCAGGAGATATTCCTGTCTGATACTGGCTCTTAGGCTTTATGCTGTGGAAGCTCAGGGGCAGAGTTATGGATTCTGTCTAGGCTTGAGGTGACAGGAAAGGCAGGAAAAGAGAACTCTTTAAAAAAAAAAAAAGAAAAGAAAAAAAAAAACCAGAGAGATGCTAGTACTAATGGTTCATCCATTGGAGAATGTCTGGCATACACATTGGGAACTTATTCTTTTTCTCTCTTTTTCTCTCTCTCATAATTAATACAGATCTTCCTGTCTGGTGTCCTGGCTGGTAATTGTTTAGAAAAAATAAAGTAGTATGGAGATACACAGCATTAAGAGCAGATAAGAGGGACCAGCAGTAAGGGGGCAGAACTGAGAACTAAGAAGGAGATAACCCCAAATGCCAAAGCCATCACATGGGGAATTCACATGTGTTGGTAGTATCATGAGCAGTTTGTTCTTTGGAATTCCTGCTGATAACACTAGAGACCAGCTAGAAAATCAGATAGCACTTTCAGGGCCTCCTGATAAGCACATAGGGAGTAACCATCATAGAAAGAATTCCATGAAGATCAAGTTTAAAAAGTATTGATAACTAAAGTGTCATACACTTAAATCACAAGATTCGCTTAAAACTGGGTGATGCAAAATTTCATATGTGCATGTGTGTATGCGTGCATGTGTGTATGCGTGCATGTGTGTGTGTGTGTGTGTGTGTGCATGAACATGCCGAACATATTTTGATTGGTGAGAAAAGAATATTATAAGGATAAACACATTGGGGTAAATTATTTTCTCTAATATTAGAAAGCATTAGATACTAAACTGCCTATTACCATTGGGACTGGATGTTTTATGCCTTAAAAAATTCAGTGGCTTAAAATGTATTTTGCCAGACCTACAGTTTTAGTTTTTACTCACCTGWGAATGTCTGTGTTAATAAGTTGGCCATTTTAAAATTAAATTCTCATTGGAAAATGTGTTGGAGAAGCCTTATGTTGTGTGTAAATGCAATGTTAACATATTTCAACCAAGAGACATTTCTTTTATCTAACTCTCTTTTCATATTCAACTTCAGGGATTTTTGCCGTCAGGATGAAAAGTGTGATTATTATTTTAGTTTGGATGCAGATGTCGTCTTGACAAATCCAAAGACTTTAAAAGTTTTGATTGAACAAAACAGGTACTAAGATTTGATATCACTATATTATTAAAATGATAATATTCCCCATCACTGTGGACATGCCTGATTGTGTTTAGTAGACTGAGAAAAGTCACATTGTTTTCTATACACCATAAACTTCTTTTTTTTTTCTTTTTCCTAGTTTTATTGATGTATATTTGACAAATTAAAGTTGTACAAATTTGGGGCTGGGTTTGTGGCTCAGCAGTAGAGCCCTGGGTTTGATCCTCAGCACCACATGTAAATAACTACAACTAAAAAWTAAATATTAAAAAAACTGGGAAAAATAAAACAACATTTTTGTTTTGTGTGATTATGTACAATTTATTATTTTAATATTATTATTGCTTGTCATAATGGGATTTGAATCCAGGGCCTCTCACATGCTAGGCAAGTGCTCTATCACTGAATTGTATCTCCCATCCTTGTTTAAAATTTAAAAATTTTACTTTGCTAAGTTGCTGCAACTGGCCTTGAATTTTCAACCCTCCTGCCTCAGCCTTCAGAGTAATGGGAATTACAGAAAGACCTGTACCACCACACTGAGCAGTGTATGTTTATTTTATTTCACTTTTGTGCATGTAAGAGAAAGAGCCCAACTAATCATCACAAGGTTGGAGTATTGTGAAAGAGGTTTTATGTGGGGAATGGTTGCCCCCAAAATTTCTTGGAGGAGTTGTGTGAGCTTTTCTTATAAAGCACCACTGCATTTAACAAGTAATTGGAGCTGGATGTGATGGTCCTCAGCTGTAATCTCAACAGCTTAGGAGGCTGGGGAAGGAGGATTGCCAGTCTGGGGCCACCCTGGGCATTTAGCTACACTCTGTCTCCAAATAAACTTTAAAAAAAGGACTGGGGATAAAGCTCAGTAGTAGAGYACCCCTGGGTTTATTCACCAGTACCAAAGTAAATAACTAAATAAATAGATAGTAATTCTAGAGGAACCTCAGGTTTTGTTTTCTCTTTGGGGAAACGTTAACATTGTAATTAAGTTTCCCCTAGATGAAAAGCTTGTACATTTTGAACTCCTAAAGTGTACTTGTCTCAAAGGGACCACTTTCCTGTTACATAGAGAAAGGGAACACTGGGGTAGTGTTTTAATTCATTTCCTGCTGCTGTAACAAAATACCAGAGACTAGGCGAATTATAAATAATGCATGTTTATTTGGCTCATAGCCTTGGAGCTGTGAAGTCCAAGACACAGGGGCTATATCTGTTGAGGACTTTTTTGCTCCTTTGTAACATGATAGAAGACATCCCATGGTGAAGGACCTTGAGAGGGAGAGAGAGAGAGAGGAGAGAGAGAGAGAGGGAAGACACAGAGCACAGACCCCCCCCCCCATTTATAGCTTATGCACTCCCAAGACCAGGACCTTCATGGAGTGGTGCCCCCTTGACCTCACTACTTCTTAAAGTCCTCCTTTGAGCACCAACATCACAGTGCCAGWTAAGTTTCAGCATGAGTTTTGTTGGGGGATGCTCAGGCCTTTGCAGGAAGTCACCCTCTATTTTATTTCTGAAATAAAGGACCAGAAAAAATGTTCCATGTTGCCAGAGTTACCTTATAATAACCACAACCCATTTTAAAAGTCACGAAAAATGGAAACATACCTAAAAGTAATTTGGGACTTAATTTTAGGAAAACTGGACTATGTACAAATGTTTCAGCCCATCCTCATTCTTTTTATTCAACAAATATTTATTGGATATCTGAATGCCCCAGGGGCTTCTCTGTSTGCCTAATAAGAAGAAAAATATTTGACCTCAATTAGTATAATTTTTGAAATGCTGGAATAAAAATAAAATAAGAGCCATATGAATAAGGTAGTTTCTAGGATATAAAGTCATTTAAAAGTAATTTTTATTATTTTTATCAACATTTTAAATGACATTTTCCTTTTTTGCTGCACTTTTTGATAAACTGTGTATGAAAACTAGCAGGTACCCATGTAAGAAAAGATATTGGGAAGAAATCTCTCTTTTTATTTTATTTTTTCTTTCAGATGAGCCACATGTATGTTAAATGCACTTTATTGTGTTATGTGTCATGTTAAGCTCAGAACATGTAACCCGTGGCAGTTTAACAATAGGTAATGATTTGACTGATCTCCCTTTAGAAAGATCATCGCTCCCCTTGTCACACGTCATGGAAAGCTGTGGTCCAACTTCTGGGGAGCTTTGAGTCCTGATGGCTATTAYGCCCGATCTGAGGATTACGTGGACATCGTTCAAGGGAATAGAGTGTACGTTACTTGATTTATTCTTCTATCATATAATACTATAGTCTAGAAATGTGGGCGTGTTAACGTACTTCAGATTTTTTACATATTTTTTTTCTGCTGTTTGTTTATAATGGAAATTTGAGGACCACTTGGGATTCTGAAATATTCATGTAAAACTTAATATCTTAAAAAGTTGTTTTAGAATTTCTGAATCTTTAAAGGAACAAGTCATTCTTAAAGATATACTAAGAGACAGTGTATGGTTAATGTGTGTATCTTATGATAGATATCAGAGTAATACTCTTTAGTATTGGAAAGGGAATTTAGTTTAGTTAATTTATTTAATAATTGTGATTAAGAGTTTCTTTGACTTTTAAACAATTTTTTAAAAAATTCATATATAAGCTTTTAAATTTCATTTGTAAGCACACAAGAACACAGAAAACTAAAGCTTTCTAATACACACACACACACACACACACACACACACAGAGATTAATGTGAAATAGTTCATCTTCTACTTTAAAGGCAGCCTTCTTCACCAATATCTAATTTCCATTTCTAAGTACTGGAAAGAATATACATGCTGCAGAATGTTTGCATGAGTGGTATTTATTTCAGGGACGCTGGTTGATATTTTTTAAACTAAAAGTTATCACAATTGAAATGGATTTTTGCTAAACCAATACAGAGAAGAATGCCATATTTTTTTCCATACAGATAGTGGACTGAGATATTTTGCACTTTGCCTTACTTTTAAACGTGTCAAACTAAATGAAAAGGAGAAACATTTTTATAATTAAAAAGAAGAGCTATTTTTAAAAAGGACACCTTTTTGTTTGGTTAGTTGAATATGAAAAGATGCTTTGCTTGTGAAAAYACTAATTGGTATAAAATCTTTGATTTTGGATGATGTAAATATAAAAAGGCTTTTGCTTGCTGTAATTAAAAAGCATGAATAGGCTAAGAAAACTGTATTAGATCTTAGTTTATTGCTTCAAAGTACTTATACTGACTCTGAGATGATCTATATGCATGTGTCTGATATGACTCATGGGTACAGCTGAAGGGAAACAGATACAGAGTAGAGAGTTCATGTCAGTGGTTTCTGATTGTATGCCATTGTTTTTGCTGCAGACACTGGTGATTTTCTGTGTCATCTTCCTGTCATTGTTGTCTCAAGTATAAAATTCTGGCAGAGGCATTTGATCCAGTTGATGTTATAGGGTACTTCCTGTCTAGGAACTGGGAGAAGGAATGATGACTCAGGATGTACATGTGTGTGTTTGCATTTTCCCTTCAGACAGAGACACTGCACACTCCAGCCATGGTTAATTTCTGAATTCAGCTAACAGATTGCATACCTCTTGAGATCATTTTATTTCAGGCTGATCTAATAAGACAAATTCTATTTCTTGAATGTCCAATTCYATCTTCTGGTTCAAGATCTTCCCTTTCTCTTTTCTAAAAGCAGCAGGCAGAGTCCTTCAGGCAAAACTATTCTTATTTCATTCTTAGGAAATGAGTCATGTCCAGGGTGAGGAGGTAGGTGTTGGAAAGAATGACATGGGAGAGACTCCCAACACTCACAGACTTCAGCTGTATTTCTTCATATCTTCCTTTTTCTCAAAAGATTTGACACAGTTTACTATTCTTCAAGAGAATATAATTTAGGGGAATTTTAGGCTCTACTCCATGGTGTGCTAGTAACAGCTGGCTCTTGGGAATGGGGGAATTCCCCAGTGTTAGTGTTTTCCATTTCCGTGGTATAAATACTACTGCCCTGTCTGATGTCAAGTTTGCAAAGAGAAATCACAAACCATTGACTTGGAACTAACCGTCAGCTCTGGGGGCCAGTGTGAGGGAGCTCTAGCACACCACTGCTCTTTGTTTCTGTTTCTCTATCAAACTTTTCAATCACAAATAGAAACATTCTATAAAACAAAATATTATGATCCTACTGCCATAGCTRTGACCCAACAGACAAAAATGCCAAGCAGATATCGCCCTATTTAAATTGAAGTTAGTCATTTGTCTCTTCAATGTCATAAAACGTATGTCTACCAAGTAATCTTTTATGTATGTTAAGTATCAATAAATGTGTTTGTGTGTTGATTGTATAACTTATMTATACAAAACCTAAATGCACACAAAGCATTTGTTTTAAAAACATAAGAAAAATGTAAATATTTTTGTATCTGGTATTTTGGAGTGTCTTTTTTACTTTCAGAGGAATATGGAATGTCCCATACATGGCTAATGTGTACTTAATTAAAGGAAAAACGCTCCGTTCAGAGATGAATGAAAGGAATTATTTTGTTCGTGATAAGCTAGATCCTGATATGGCTCTTTGCCGAAATGCTAGAGAAATGGTAAGATGCACAAGTGGCTGCTTGCTTGAATGTTTTCATGAGACAACTTGCTTGGCCAGTTGTGTTTTCATACCTTTTTTTCCTCTCTAATATGTAAGTACTAGCCAATTTTTTTGGTACTGCATTGAAAAAGTTGAGAGTAGTTTGGGGGAATTATTTTTGAACATTAACCTGTAAAAGTGGTTTGAAAATTTTAATTGAGGCTGACTCATACCCATCACAGCAAGATTTAATAATGAAGATGGAATTTTTATGGATCAGCTTTGGTCTTAAGAATACATCTTCTCTTCTATTTGAAGTTTTATAGCTTTCATTCATCCTAGATAAAATTAGTTAAATAAGGTTTATTAGGTGAAATAATCATTACACATTTAAGATATTTAGAAAATGGTGCCTGCATTTTTCTAGCTGGGTGTATACTGTAGTTCTCAACCTCATTTTCTTGGAAAGACAGTGKAATGAATCTGACATAAGTGTCCTGTGTATATACATGAATACACCACAGTGAAACTCCACACCATGTACAAACCAAAACTGGATCCTGATTAGAATAAGATGTATTTCATATTTGTACAAACATATCAAAATAGACTCCATTGTCATGTATAACTAAAAAGAACAACAACAACAAAAGAGGTTCCTTATCACAGAATTAGAAAAAAAGTCAAAATAAGTAGAATATTTAATCTGATGWCAAAAATTAATGATACATTGCTGTTCTACAAATACAATGTCAGTATAAATATTAAACAATTATAGGAAATAGCTTGCCTCTTCAGGATATTTCAAAATGTATTTATATGATTTCCTATTTTAGAAACGATCGAGGTGTACATTTGTCCCAAATTTATATAAGTATTTGTGATTTTAGAAAAATCAGAAAAGTTGGCAAGTATTTTTTTCTTATTTTAACAAAGCATGATTTGTTTGAATTTGTTTGTTTTTCCTACAAATCTATGTGCCTTGTTATTATCGAATATCCTCAGTACCTGTGATTGTATTTTGTGCTCATGTTTGGCTGGTTTCACTCAACAGCGCATCCCGGAATGGCATCTTATTTATTTTTTCCTTTGTCTTAAAWATGTCTCTAATGAATTTTGCTTAGAAATGAGCTTGGATTTGTGTTTGACTCCCCCCCCCCCAAAAAAAAAATGGAAAGAAAAGGCTGGACATGTTTCTTTGTGTGCGCTATCAGCTTTGCTTGTTCTGCATGTTGTCTGTGAAGGACATGTCAGAATGTCAGCTTTTCATCAAGAGCTGCTTTTTTTTTTTTTTTATTTACCAAAGAATACCCAAGAGAGTGGGTGTGCAGTCAACTTACCCAATGCTTCTCTTCATTTTAGACTTTACAAAGGGAAAAAGACTCCCCTACTCCGGAAACATTCCAAATGCTCAGCCCCCCAAAGGTGTTATTTTTATTTATTTTTTATTTATTTTTTGTTTATGTAATTAATATTAAATATGGTAAATTGCATAGAAGTTTATTTGAGAACCTTCTTTGCATTTAGCTTTATATAATGTTGGTGTTCATGGGTTACTAATCTGAATGTGTGTGTGTGTGTGTGTGTGTGTGTGTGTGTGTGATCTGTGTGATTTTGGGCGGGATATTGGAAGTTAACACTTGGATCTTTGAGCTGATTTATATTTTATAGTTGAAAGTTGAAAAAGTTAAACCCAAGTTTCTTGCACTCATTCTTTTGGGTTTTATTTTGGTGGGTGACAGGGAGAAGAGGTAGAGGTGGATATACAGTGCATCTTGATTAAAGAAATGAGACTTAGGAGCTCTTCTTCTTGATTTATTTTATTGGTCGCTAACCCTTTTACCACTAAAACAGGTACAAAAATCAACGTCCTTACATCAGTTGTGTTTGCCATGTTTTTTTGGTTTATGGCAAGGATATGAAACGCACTTTTTTTTTTTCTTAGCTGCCTTTACAATGCATGACTAAGTTTTGTGTTCTGTTTTTAAACATTAGAACAACAAAAGAATGAAATACAGTGATGCACTATTAATGACATTTTAAATTCTGGTTTAAAAATGTAACACTGTCTTCTTTGAAAGGGAAAGAAGCCAAAAGAAGGTCTAACCCATTGCATTTTGGTGTCTCAAAAATATTTCTGCTTTCAAACAGGAATTTTTTTCCCGATGTCTCCATCTAGGATCAAAGAGAAAGGCATAAAAACAATCCATTCATCTTCTTTTTTTCAGTTGAGTGTCAGTGCTATCTGTTAGTTTTGTGTGGTGTCTGAATTATAATCCAAATTTTCTTTCTTTTATTTTAAATCATGCACGTTTTACTTGAAAAATAAAATGCATGTTTATGAATGAAATTATAAAAGTTGAAATTAATATACCATACTATATATTTTTCTATGGTTAAACTTATATTTTGTACCTTCCTCCAAGATTAACACTCCTATTTTTTGGCATATAGGGTGTGTTTATGTACATTTCTAATAGACATGAATTTGGACGACTACTATCCACTGCTAATTACAACACKTCCCATTATAACAATGACCTCTGGCAGATATTTGAAAATCCTGTGGTATGTGTTTCATATTCAACTTCTTTTATTACTTATTCTCCTGTAAGTCTAACTGGACATWAACTAGTTGGCTAATAATACGAAAATGTGATAAGAGGCGTTTAAAAAATGAAATAGTTAATTTTATTTAATGATCTATAGAGTAGATCTAAACTTTACCAAGAATTTGTGTCATAAAGAGCTATTTTAGGCTTGAGGAATTTAATTATCAGTTTCTTTGGTTTCTCATATTTTCTGTTTTATATATTCAAAAGTTCTATACAATCTTTAATCACCATTTCAGAGAAAAGTTGACAAATAGTTTGTGTATAATATTTTGATTTTCAGGAAGAAAATTCAAGAATTAGCTAAGGAAAATACACAGTATCTCATGATTTTGTTAATCCGTTTTGACASTTTTGTGAATGTACACCTGAGAGAACCAGAGAAAATTGAGGAGTAAGCTCCTTCAGCATAAAAGAAAGTCTTAAGTTGAAGAAAGGATTTACTTTCTAAAGTCTGTTCTTGTTTTCTTAAAGATTTCATCAGATAGTAAAAAGCTTCTGTTTTTGCTTTATAATGATTTCTTTCTTTTTGTAAGCTCCCCACATTTATTCAAGGGACATRTTCTCTTATTCTGCTGTTTTTAAGATTTTCCTCCTGGCAATAGTAAAAGTTTTCAGTTACCAAGACTCACTTCACCTGATGAAAATTGTCTTTTATTTTGTGGGAGAGTTCCAGAAATGGTAMATTTAATAGTTCTTGAATACTCTCCTGAATAGAGAAAGAATGTTYTTTGACATTTTGGTATTTTTAAAGTACTTTTGCCCCATTTTAGCTGTATGTCTTTATCATTCATGGGAGTAGAATTGAAAAGAGGTCTATTTTATGTGAGGGTAGAATTCATATTTTATTGAATCTCTTAATGTTTTGAATGTAGAATTATTTGGCTCCTCAGATAGCAGGTTARCTTCCTGGTAAGATGCCCTAAATTATATCCTGAATTGCACCTCTGTGTAAGAGTTCCAGTCTCTGGAGAGGATAGGATGAAAATGTSAGAACTGAACAGAAATGACTTTTCTTTCTACGGCTTTCTTTGTTTTTTTGAAACATTAGTCTACTTGTGGATATGCTGAGTGCTRTCTCATAGCAAAATACTTAGTGATTGACACATCATCAGAATTCCTAAGAAATTAGTACAATCACAATTTGCTCAATGACTTGAAAGTTTGCCTAAAATAAAAAGTTACTATTAATACTCAAATGTAAAAATTCTTGGGGATTTTGTTTTCTATAAACTTTAAAGAAATTTTTAAAAAATGATGCATAGGAAAAAAAATATTTTTAAATTTCATGTTTGATTATTTATATATAATTTTTCTAAAATTTTAGAATTAGAAAATAAATATTAGAAAAATAATGAAATAATACAGAAAATAGATCATCATATTTGTACACTATGTATAAATGACATTCCTTAAAGAATTTGAAGATAGTTTTGGCTTCTCCACATGAAAAACAGGCTCCATATAAACATACAAAACTAAGAATGGCATATAAAATTAGCATGATATAAATCATCTGCTCTGCCAAAATMCAGCCTCAGAGATATATTTAATATAAATATTTTTGGAAACATGTTTTTATTAGAATTATTTAGAGTCTGTGCTTATGCTGTGACTTCCCATATTTGTACTTTATAAAAAAGAAAATTAAAAATTTTTCAAGAGTCTAAATGCATTTAAGAATATATTGAGGAGTTACCTAATTCACTCCATATTTTATCATAAACTTTCTCAATTATGCCAGAGATTGGTCAAAGAGAATAAAATTTCTGAATTAGATGAAGAGGAACCATTTTCAATATAAGGACCTAATTCTTAACCTTATTAGTTGAATAAGACCCTAGTTAATTAATTCACTAATGGTTTTTTGCTATTATTTATTGGTACAATTTTGTTCCTTATTTTATCCTTTTTTTTTTTTTGGTCCTGAGGATTGAACCCCAGGCTTTAAGCATGCTAAGCATGTGCTCAACCATAGAGCTAAACCTCTAGCCCTATTTTTAATTTTTAAATGCCACACATTTAATCATTCCTAAAACTAGTCATTGTAAAATTATTAAAGTCTTAATATTCTGAAGCATGAAACTARTAAGTTTTTTTTAAAAAAATGTTTCCTGGAATGATGTGAGCACATACAGAATTAGGCAAAAATTGAAATATAAACTTAGTTTCTGAAAATTCCTGTTCTGTTGAATATACACAGCCATTTCTAAGTTGTTCAATTTATAAAAAGTACATAATTTTTATTTGCCAGTGAAGTATTTGTGAAAAAAGATATTTGTGTTAATATGTACAATTCTTTTTTTGATAGGACTGGAAGGAAAAGTATATAAACCGTGATTATCCAAAAATTTTCACAGAAAACATAGTTGAACAGGTTTGTATTAATAGCTACTATGATGTATAGAGCATTTTGCTGTATTTTCCAGAAGAAAGCATTTCTAGTGTAATATTACTTTAGTGGAAAATGTGAAATTAGAGAAACTAGCCTTTGGGTAAAATTCACATAGCTTATTAGCAGCTCTGCAGCCTCGGAATCCTACAGATGTGAAAAWGGAGATTTAAAAATATATTTTAAGATAATACTTTTGGAAAAAAAATAATGGTCCTAAATTTTCTGGCTTTATGATACCTCTCAAAATAAGGAATCATTGAAAGATCTCTGGTATGGAATTCTTTCAATAAACGTTTAACTTTGAAAGAGATTGGGCTCTCTTTCTAAGAGATTTTTCTCTGAGAGACCTTTTTAAAAATGAACTCTCTTTTAGGTGTGTTCAAAATTATTGCTCATACCTTATTCTCCAAGTATAAGCTATCCTCATTTCCGAGATATGCCATTATCTTATGTATCTARAGAAAGAAAAATTAAACTATGACGATATTTTCTTGTCATTTAAATGCTTAAAATTTTATACATATCAAAGAGTTGTTTAAACATTTTAAGACACAGCTATTATTATGTCTTCTAATGGTGGCGCCATGTTTTATAGCCTTGTCCAGATGTCTTTTGGTTCCCCATATTTTCTGAAAAAGCCTGTGATGAATTGGTGGAAGAAATGGAGCACTATGGCCAGTGGTCTGGGGGGAAACATCATGTAAGTTACTGTTTCACACAAAGAGCTAGAATGTGTGTCTGTCTGGGGAAGGTCAGGATAGATATTCAAGTTCAGAAGGGATATATTCTAACTTTTTCCTTGGCCTAACTGATCGGGCCAGGCCATCAGGAGAATGCTCTTTTCAGTCTGTCTTGAGGACAGCTGATCCTTTAACACCTAAGAAGTCTGTTATCTGTCTGGGCCCCAGTTTCTCATTTATGCATGTAATTGCAGAGTGTGTGGTCTGTAAGGGCCAGTGTCCCTATGCTGGAGTTGCATTAGGTAAGACATGTCTGTAATGACTGGTGTCTTTCTTCTCTAAGATCACCTTTTATTCCCTGCAGTGAAAATGCTAATGCAAACTTTTTTTTTTTTTTTGGTTGGTAAACATGGAAAGGAGGATTGTTTTGAATGCCCTCAGTGTAATCCTGCTTTGCATTTATGTTCATGTGTGAAGACTTGGCAGTGAATTTTACGGGTGTGGGTTCCATGTGTTTCTTTTCCCCTGAAAACCCTCAGAGGCTAGGGATTGTAATGAATTACTCTGGAATATCACTGCCTCCACCCAGTTAACATCACCCCAGCTACTTACTTGATGAGGGAGAGAAAAGTCTGAAATATTAGGAGGAACTTGAAGTCAGTGTGTTGAGGGATACTGGAAGAAAATCACTGAAAGATTTGGGATTTCATAAAACGAAAGCAAGGGTCACGGCGGGGAAAACCTGTTTTCCGTAGTTTATAATCCAGGGGACACATATATGTGGAATGCGTGCCCATCAGGCAGCCAGGACCCCAGAGAGTCATGATACAAAGTCATTTTTTAGGGCCGATTTGAGGCTTTGGAAAGTCTGTTTTAGTAGTTGTATAATTAAACCTCATGTATACATTTAATATGTAGGAAAGGGGTCTACTGACTCTGCAGTAATTTGCTTCATCACCAATACATTTGCAAAGCTGTATTATCTGAGTAATTTTGACCRTTTTATAATTAAAGCAGATGGTACACCACAATTGAGCAACTGTTATTTTTATTGTCTATTATGAGCTGTGTTTATAAAAAAATACCAAGATAATGGTAATGTGAATTACACACGGGCTCCCCTTTATGGTGTGTCAATGCTGTTTCCAGGATAGCCGTATATCTGGCGGTTATGAAAATGTCCCGACTGATGATATCCACATGAAGCAAATTGATCTGGAGAATGTATGGCTTCATTTTATCCGGGAGTTTATTGCACCTGTTACACTGAAGGTCTTTGCAGGCTATTATACAAAGGTAGTTATCCTCCCACCCCTCCTGCATGCTCCCTGCCACATTCTACATGAATAAGCTTTTTTTAATGTTTTTRTTGTTAAACAAATCTCCTGACTGACTTTGCTTTTTTAGGGGTTTGCACTATTGAATTTTGTAGTAAAATACTCCCCGGAGAGACAGCGGTCTCTACGTCCCCACCATGATGCTTCAACGTTTACTATCAATATTGCTCTCAATAATGTGGGAGAAGATTTTCAGGCAAGTATGACTCATCTGTTTAGAGTTTTCTAACTAAATATGGTGTTATCAAAAGGGATTTACCTGTTTCTTTTTTAGAAGAATTATGCTAAGATGGCATAATTTGAAATTTTAACACTCGTTAAAAATTGAAAATAATAAGCAGATACTTTTTTTTTTTTTTTTTACATTTTAGGGAGGTGGATGCAAATTTCTAAGATATAACTGCTCTATTGAATCACCACGAAAGGGCTGGAGCTTCATGCATCCTGGGAGACTTACCCATTTGCATGAAGGACTTCCCGTTAAAAATGGAACAAGATACATCGCAGTGTCATTTATAGATCCCTAAGTTATTTACTCTTTATTGAATTGAATTTTCTTCTGGAATGGATGACTGGCACGAACACATCTTTGAAGTTGTGCTTGAGAAGATGAGAGGAATATTTAAATAACTTCAACAGAACAACTTCACTTTGGGCCAAGCATTCAGAACACTTTTTGTAAAAAGTTGTTTGATGTTTCTTAATGTCTGCTCTGAGCCTTAAAACACAGGTTGAAGAAGAAAAGAAAGAAAAAAAAGTAAAAGAAAATATTTATTTCTATGCTTTACTGTCTCTTAGAATAATGAGGATTTTCTGGATTTGTGTTTCAARTTGATAAAATATTCAGGTACAAATGTACAAGTAACAAATAAGCCTAATAATGTTTTCTTATTTAAGAGGAGCCTGAGAAGAATTTTATTTATCAACATGTAAGGGAAATGTAGAACGAATGGATATAAATGGAAAGTTTTGAAAACCTGGGTTTTGAAACCTGGGGAAACTGATTCTAASTGAATTTGGGTGCAATTATGTAAGTTCTTTCTTGACCACCTATGCAGGTCCCTGCTCTAGTAGTTATGGGATGATACAAAGAAAATAACAATGTTTTTCTCAAGAAACAGTGGAAACACAACCAAAGAGCAAATCCATTAGAAACAATTTTTTTTYCCTAGAGCATTTGATGATTTTACATTTGTATTAGAAATTAAGTCCCATATTTCTTCCCATGGACCATCTAAAGCGGGCAATATTAAGTATACACCAGATCTAAAATCCRCAAGTGTCCTTATGTCAAAACAGAGTTTTTCTTAGTTTCATTTTTTTTAATTGTAGAAAATGGTAAAGAAAAAGAAAAAAAAATTTGAGACTAGTCGCATTTTATGATTTTTATAAAACTTTTTAAGTACTTGAATTTTATATCAGGAAAATAAAGTTAGTGAGCCTGGCTTCTTCCCTTTTTCCCTTTGTCTCTCTTCTTAATCTTTTTGGGAGGGTTATTCATTTTTTTTCCTTCTAACTGTGATTTCTGTTTTATCCTTTTTAATCTGTGAGTTCTTCTCTACCTTACTCTAACCCCCTTCCAAATTGTTGACTTCATTTATTACCATTTCTCTGAGTGAGGTGTAAATGTCCTTCTTGTAGCTACTGTTTTTAATTTAAAGGTTAAACTTGAAGTTTTTAATCATGGTGCCAAAATTCATTTTTCTAACACCATGTGTTAGAAAATTTTGAAAAATAAAATTATTTAAAATAAGAATTTGTTGTTTTCTTTATTATTGGTGATTTATCTTTAGAAGTGAATAAATGATGGAATAGTCTGAAATAATATCTGGATACAAAAACTGTCATTTTTTTTCAGTTTGTTTTGTAGCTTTGAAAATATAAACATCAAGATTCTATTAATTGGATTATAAATTAATTGTAAAATCTTGGTCTCATAGTAACTAGGGATTGGATGTGACTCATTTTACAAGTGAGGAAATAAAGGTCACATGATTGTTCCATATTTAAGTATCTATTTGGTGGTGCTTTTGTGTCTCCTGTGGGCTCATTTGTRTTCCAGGCACTGAGCACACAAATAGGGATCACCTGAATGCTTTTGTTGCTGGGAGATGGACTTGGGAAATCAGCAAGCTGTGGTCTATCTCTGTTCTCTTCTTTGGTGTCCCTTAATACCTAAGGTAAATCCCTACCCATCAACAAGGTGAGGAAACATTTAGGTCATGATTTGCCTGATAGTTTGTGAATTACATAATTGTACTTCCAGGATAGCAAATGATGTGTCATGGACCCCAAGCAGTCACTAGTGACCCTAGAGGCAAAGCAGGTGGAGTCCCTTCAGCACAAGCCCTGATGTCTTTGGGTGCATTTAGAGGAGAGATACCTACCAGGTGCTTTTCAGGTGGGGTGTGGTGGGTGGCCACCTACTGTAATTGTTGTCATCTCATGCCCTGTTTCCAGAAATTGGATCAGGGCTGTGGACTGAGCACATTTTTCTATCTTTGCTCTTATCATAGATTCCCTGAAATAATATTTTTAAAAAGTACTTTTTACAAAAGGAAGATTCATAGTTAGTGAAGGACARTGAGGAAAACTCCTATCAGTAGATCAGAGAATTTGAAAAATGGGAAACTAGTCGGTTTGGAAAGAGAAAACTGCAGCTCTGGAAACAGTAGATGACTCTAGCAGGAACCATTTCTATGGTAAGATTCACTCACTTTGCAGGGTATTAAAAAAAGCCTTCCAAAAAAAATTATATGTATGTAACCCACACTCAGATATCTCTAGGAAAGAATCTTTTCTAGAAAAGAACATATTCTGAATARTAGTGTGAGATCATAGAGGAGGAAGGAGAATTTATGCTTTTTTCATTTTGTATTTCTATATCATTGAAATTTTTTATTATGGAAATGTGTTTGGGTATTAATTGTTCCATAAAGGAAAAACAGGAAAAAGAAAAGGGGGGAAGTTTTATAATTAGGTTTGAAAAAGTGGAAGTATATGAATGTCATTAGTAATCATTCATTTTTGGGGGGGGGCTACATGAGCAGAGGGGGCTGTATGTACTCACCATTCTGGCACTTTTCCTAATCGTACCTTTTTTCATCCTTGGTGCTTAGAATTGAACCCAGGACCTCCACAGAGCCTGCCGTTGAACTTGAACTACACCTCCAGCCCCATTTTCTTGCTAATTCTTTTTTTTTTTTTTTTTTAATATTTATCTTTTAGGTGTCCATGGACACAACACAATGCCTTTATTTTTATGTGGTGCTGGGGATCGAACCCGGGTCCTGCCTATGCTAGGCGAGCGCTCTACCGCTGAGCCGTAATCCCAGCCCCATCTTTCTAATTCTTAATAAAAAGGAGTCCACATGAATATTTTTTTCCTAGCGTGGATACTCCAGTAATAATCCAGTCTCTTCTCCATTTTGCTTTATCTTTGAAAAACATAGTCATTTACTGGTAATTTCCCTAGGAGGTGAATACCCCCTATGGAATAAAACACGGGAAGTTCTACATGTGTGAACCCAGCTATCCATCTTAGTGATGACTCTGTATTCCCTTCTCCTGTTTTCCTGACCCCTTATGTACTTATCAGTTTTCCTGCTACCTTAGTCCTAATTCCCATGTTATATGATATTCGGGGGAACTGCCATTCATCTGGAATATGGAATAATTTATACAGCAGATCTTTTCAAGTTGCAGAAAAGTCACATAGAATTTTAAAATTCTATTCACAGTTGAGATTCTGTAAATCCCTCTCTTGGATCCGGTGTTGACTGTTCGGAAAATTAATGTCTTCAAGACTTTGTGAACACTAGCTTTGTCAAATACCAGCTTTCCAGTACTCTTAGAAAACAGCAATTACARGCTTCTGTTACAATAACTGTTAAGAAAAAAGGTCATTGGGGTGAAAAATAGAAATGTATGAAAGTTTTTAACAAAAGCAATGAATTTTAGAATAAGGTGAAGAATAAGTAATGAAGAGAATAGAAAACTATACATGTGGATACGTTTTTAAAATGCAAAGTACCGTGTAAATTATTTTGACAAAATGAATAGAATGATTRTAAGGGTGAAAATATAGACTTAGGATTTGTGGACTTCAAAATCTTAAATTTCCCTGACAACTTTTTATTTAAATAATTTTAAGAGTTAGCTTTTAATATATTTGTTTCCTTCTTAATAGAGTTACCTAGATTAGAAAACAGTTATTTCTGAAAGTGGTTTCATTGGTGACAGGTGTGACTAAGGTGGTGATAATATGCATTTATTTGAAAATAATTTGACAGTGATTAGTTTGGCAATCTGATCTGTCTTCACTGTAAAGTGTATGGCTAAAAATCTGAATGTTAGATTCTTTTCAAAATTAGAAATGGATTTCTGCATACTTCACAATATAAAACACACAAGTAGTCACCTTCAAAATGATTGTAACAAATGAAATGAAAAAGATCATGACRTAAACAGTCTCTTTCAAATTCTCCTCCAAATAAGGAGTAGCAGGCATATTTCCAGTTATTTCTGATGAAATGGCTTGTTTCATGTAAATGTAAAATATKAATGTATATGAATGTAAATATTAAATTACAAAACAGAATTAAGGCAACTAGGAAGATAAAAATTTATGTATTGCAATGAATAATGGACTCATGTGTTTAATTATCCAATAATTTTAGCAAAATTATTTCTAAAGACATTCCTATTAATACTGGTCTAAAATTTGGTGGCTTCTTTTGGGAATGTAATCCTTAAGGAYATCACAGGGTGATACATAATTCCATACTTGCTCACTACAGTTTTGTGTTTGACAAAGCTTTATGAGAAATGTACACGTTTAAAGCATTTTTTGCTGCTGATAATTAATGATTAGATAATTAATTAATTCACAATAATGCATATTTTWAAAATTATCTTTT